TTCCCTGAACACTCCCCAGGCTGTTCTCCACTACCCTGAACACTCCCCAGTCTGTTTTCCACTACCCTGAAACACTCCCCAGTCTGTTCTCCACTACCCTGAACACTCCCCAGTCTGTTATCTACTACCCTGAACACTCCCCAGTCTGTTCTCCACTTCTCTGAACACTCCCCAGGCTGTTCTCCACTACCCTGAACACTCCCCAGTCTGTTCTCCACTACCCTGTACACTCCCCAGTCTGTTCTCCACTACCCTGAACACTCCCCAGTATGTTCTATACTACCCTGAACACTCCCCAGTCTGTTCTCCACTTCTCTGAACACTCCCCAGGCTGTTCTCCACTACCCTGAACACTCCCCAGGCTGTTCTCCACTACCCTGAACACTCCCCAGTCTGTTCTCCACTACCCTGAACACTCCCCAGTCTGTTCTCCACTACCCTGAACACTCCCCAGTCTGTTCTCCACTACCCTGAACACTCCCCAGTCTGTTCTCCACTACCCTGAACACTACCCAGTCTGTTCTCCACTACACTGAACACTCCCCAGTCTGTTCTCCACTACCCTGAACACTCCCCAGTCTGTTCTCCACTACCCTGAACACTCCCCAGTCTGTTCTCCACTACCCTGAACACTACCCAGTCTGTTCTCCACTACCCTGAACACTCCCCAGTCTGTTCTCCACTACCCTGAACACTCCCCAGTCTGTTCTCCACTTCTCTGAACACTCCCCAGGCTGTTCTCCACTTCTCTGAACACTCCCCAGTCGGTTCTCCACTACCCTGAACACTCCCCAGTCTGTTCTCCACTACCCTGAACACTCCCCAGTCTGTTCTCCACTACCCTGAACACTCCCCAGTCTGTTCTCCACTACCCTGAACACTCCCCAGTCTGTTCTCCACTACCCTGAACACTCCCCAGTCTGTTCTCCACTACCCTGAAACACTCCCCAGTCTGTTCTCCACTACCCTGAACACTCCCCAGTCTGTTCTCCACTACCCTGAACACTCCCCAGTCTGTTCTCCACTACCCTGAACACTCCCCAGTCTGTTCTCCACTACCCTGAACACTCCCCAGTCTGTTCTCCACTACCCTGAACACTCCCCAGTCTGTTCTCCACTACCCTGAACACTCCCCAGTCTGTTCTCCACTACCCTGAACACTCCCCAGGCTGTTCTCTACTACCCTGAACACTCCCCAGTCTGTTCTCTACTACCCTGAACACTCCCCAGTCTGTTCTCTACTACCCTGAACACTCCCCAGTCTGTTCTCCACTACCCTGAACACTCCCCAGTCTGTTCTCTACTACCCTGAACACTCCCCAGTCTGTTCTCCACTTCTCTGAACACTCCCCAGGCTGTTCTCCACTTCTCTGAACACTCCCCAGTCTGTTCTCCACTACCCTGAACACTCCCCAGTCTGTTCTCTACTACCCTGAACACTCCCCAGTCTGTTCTCCACTACCCTGAACACTCCCCAGTCTGTTCTCCAATACCCTGAACACTCCAGTCTGTTCTCCACTACCTGAACACTCCCCAGTCTGTTCTCACACTACCCTGAAAACACTCCCCAGGCTGTTCTCCACTACCTGAACACTCCCCAGTCTGTTCGCTACTACCCTGAACACTCCCCAGTCTGTTCTCCACTACCCTGAACACTCCCCAGGCTGTTCTCCCTAACCCTGAACACGCCCAGTCTGTTCTCCACTACCCTAAAAACACTCCCCAGTCTGTTCTCCCTACCCTGAACACTCCCCAGTCTGTTCTCCACTACCCTGAACACTCCCCAGTCTGTTCTCCACTACCCCTGAACACTCCCAGGCTGTTCTCCACTACCTGAACACTCCCCATCTGTTCTCTACTACCCTGTACACTCCCCAGTCTGTTCTCTACTACCCTGAAACACTCCCCAGTGTTCTCCACTACACCCTGAACACTCCCCAGTCTGTTATCTACTACCTTGAACACTCCCCAGTCTGTTTCTCCACTTCTCTGAACACTCCCCAGGCTGTTCTCCACTACCCTGAACACTCCCCAGTCTGTTCTCTACTACCCTGTACACTCCCCCAGTCTGTTCTCCACTACCCTGAACACTCCCCAGTCTGTTCTCCACTACCCTGAACACTCCCCAGGCTGTTCTCCACTACCCTGAACACTCCCCAGTCTGTTCTCTACTACCCTGTACACTCCCCAGTCTGTTCTCCACTACCCTGAACACTCCCCAGTCTGTTCTCCACTACCCTGAACACTCCCCAGTCTGTTTCTCCACTACCCTGAACACTCCCCAGGCTGTTCTCCACTACCCTGAACACTCCCCAGTCTGTTCTCTACTACCCTGTACACTCCCCAGTCTGTTCTCCACTACCCTGAACACTCCCCAGTCTGTTCTCTACTACCCTGAACACTCCCCAGTCTGTTCTCCACTACCCTGAACACTCCCCAGTCTGTTCTCTACTACCCTGTACACTCCCCAGTCTGTTCTCTACTACCCTGAACACTCCCCAGTCTGTTCTCCACTACCCTGAACACTCCCCAGTCTGTTCTCTACTACCCTGAACACTCCCCAGTCTGTTCTCTACTACCCTGAACACTCCCCAGTCTGTTCTCCACTACCCTGAACACTCCCCAGGCTGTTCTCCACTTCTCTGAACACTCCCCAGTCTGTTATTTACTACCCTGAACACTCCCCAGTCTGTTATTTACTAACCTGAACACTCCCCAGGCTGTTCTCTCCTACCCTGAATACTCCCCAGGCTGTTCTCCACTACCCTGAACACTCCCCAATCTGTTCTCTACTACACTGAACACTCCCCAGTCTGTTCTCCACTACCCTGAACACTCCCCAGTCTGTTCTCTACTACCCTGAACACTCCCCAGTCTGTTCTCCACTACCCTGAACACTCCCCAGTCTGTTCTCTACTACCCTGAACACTCCCCAGTCTGTTCTCCACTACCCAAGTCAACAAACAGATCACTGACCATTTCGAATCCCACCGTACCTTCTCCGCTATGCAATCCGGTTTCCGAGCTGGTCATGGGTGCACTTCAGCCACGCTCAAGGTCCTAAACGATATTATAACCGCGATCGATAATAGACAGTACTGTGCAGCCGTTTTCATTGACCTGGCCAAGGCTTTCGACTCTGTCAACCACCGCATTCTTATTGGCAGACTAAATAGCCTTGGTTTCTCAAATGACTGCCTCGCCTGGTTCACCAACTACTT